TTTATTTTGGTAAAATTTTACATTTATATCTATATATCCCTATACGGTATAAAATTTAAGATTAAGGATATTAAAATGCTCCTCAATTAAGTAAAAAAGTTAGGATTGTCCCTAAAGTCAAGAAACAATCATTTATATCCCTAAGTGATTAAGATTTTTGATTTCATCACCCTACTACTTATTCTGTCAATTTTCATAGTTAGTGGGCCCACATTTGAAAATTTTAATATTTTCAATAGGTCCCATCATTTTTAAATATTTTATATAATTTTAAAAAATACCCCTCTCACTCCTCCCTCTCTCCTCCCCCCAATTCCCTCTCTTGTTCACTCATTCTCAATTTGAAGCAAGTGGAGTGGTGATGGCAGAGCACCTAGCACGCTGATTGCAATCTTATTATTGTCTAAATGGCTAAGCTGAAGAGTGCATCGAAAGTATGTTTCTATAATGGTTGGCTATGTAATATCGCCTTTGCTTAATCACAATTAATACAAAAAATCAAGGTAACCATTGAACTAATCTAATTAGATTATCAAGTTGGTAATTTGTAAGAATAAGATCTCAAGTTTTTTAAAATTCAACTTGCTTAAACATCATTTAATAATCTTTTAATCAGAGTAAAATATTATTTTAAAAACATGTTATACCTTTTAGGAGTCAAAGGGACTCAAAACAATTGAAAAGTATCAAGGAATGAAAAATAGAGAGGTGCACTACACTTGTGCACATGCATAACGGCGCGTTGCACGTATCATACATCATTTTGTTGTCAAATGATAGCAACCCAAGGCAACTTCTAACATGCCCTATTTTTTTGTCTAACGTTTGATTGAGGCAATCTAGGTGTTTATATAAAGCCCTTTTTATAAACTAGTTGATAGCATGGGTTTTACTTTCAAATTATATCACATAAAAAAGTTGAATACCCAAACACTTTTTTACAATTTTATACACTTTTCACAGCTTAAGGGTATTCAAAACCTCATACATGTGCCAAAGTTACATCTATCGCCTAGAACATACTCAATAGACTTGTGATTATCTGTACAACACACCATGCACATATAAACTCAACAATTCTCAATTTTCACTCCCAAGCCCCTATTAATACAAAAACAGAAGGAAAAAGTTTTAGTATTGCATAAATCAATCATTTTCAATTCCAATAATATGACAATAGTTCCTACATTTGTATTAGTATTTTGACCCTATCAACACTTAATAATCTTATAAACAACATTATAGGGCCTAAAATATATCCCAAAATATAACATGGTGCAAGTATATTAAAAAAGAATCTTAATTGACAATACTCTAACTATTACACAAAATAAATTAAGATAGGAGGCTTTACAATAGGAATACTCAAAATCCTAAGCCTCTTGAGCCTTCTATCTTTTTACACCGGAGCTAGCTTCTATAAAATATTGAAAGAGAGTAGTGAGTTCAACCACTTAATAACCAAGGTACGTTTACTCTATACAATTATTTATCAATCGATAAAAACACATAAAGAGGAGTAAAATACTTAACTTCATAAAATCACACATAACATACATATATATTACAATATACCATTAACTTTTGATCAAATTTTTTTCACATAATCGCATTACGAGACACGTTGCCACAATATAGACAACTATGTGATAACGGCTCGATTAACAATCATGATGCACATTGTCGTAATACATACAACCATGTGATAATGGCACAATTCACTATTACAACATGCCACAAACTTAGCAACTAGTGACACATCGGATAAACATATGCATGATCAATTACTCTTTATACCCTTGTTATTTTTTCTAAATAAAACCATGAGATATAATATCAATTAAGGCTTTGTTTGCATGACTAGACTACCCAAGCTCATTGATTATGAGGTGTGACTCAATCAAAAATCACATTACTTACTTTCGGGCCACAGCTTCTTCCATTCTCGAATATCTGGGGTATTGTATAACATAAACTAATCTCCTCAACAAACATATGGAGATAGTTAGGTTATAGTCTCTCGACAAACTATGAAATAATCCCTTGAGAAATAGTGAGACAAAGCTAGCCTTCATACATCGAAAGGCTACCATAAGTATAATATGAATTTAATCTACTCCTCTTTTTAGGCGAACTCCTGCCAAAGGATTATGCAATGCATGAAACTCACTTATTTCACAAATAAATGACTTGTTAGGTTACAAGCACGATCTAACCTATGTGAGCATTTGTAATATTTTCATAATTATTCTTTTTCCAAAAAAATATCACATGCATAATCTCCACATCATACATTTATCAGGTCAACTTATAAGTTTTTATTTTTCACATCACAATATCCTCACATCAACTCACCAACTTTTCGTTTCAATGCAAAACACAATGTGGAACTTTTTAAGTTCAAATTCATTATTATAGCCATATTAGGTTTAGTAAAGCTTCATTGGGTTTTTGGCATAGCAGCAACTATAACATTCAACCATTTAAGTCAATTTAAACATTTTCAAAAACATAAATCAATTAACAAATAACTATACACAATAAGTTTAGCTTGGTTACCTTAAATTTTGAGAGGTCAAATAGTTACCCCTTGATAACTTGCTTCTAAGCTTTCTCTTCAAGCCCAATATGGTGTAAGGATGATTAATTTATAATTAATCAAGTCTAAATTCATCAACATCACCACATACACTCCATTTCACGTTTATTTCAATATCCAAAATAATAAAAAATCCTCACATCTAGCATGTCAAGCTTAACCATTGGGTTCATTAATTGCCTTGAACTCCCCAGAGCTTTATTAAACTCTTATATAATCATTAATAGCTCCTTAGCCAAGTTTAACAACTATAATAAATGACATTTTCAACCATCAATGCACCCTTAACCAAAACATGTAAACCCATTATTTTTAGGTTTAAATGCCTCAAATAACTTTCATTAATTTTATTTGAGTCAATGAGTTTAGACTCATAACTTATATGGGTTGAAAATTAATTTTCATTAACAAACCCTAACTCAAAAGTTCTTTAAAAATGAAGGGAAAGGAAGAAAGGAGCTTGTGGGACTTGCCTTTGATGTTTTAAGGCTCAAAATACTCCCTAAGCTTCAACTCCTCGAGCCTTAGCAAAGCAAGTATCAAGCTCTTCATTTTTTTTCTCTCTTTCTCTTTTGTTTTTTTTGCCTCAAAACATGATCTATTTCTATAGAAAATAGGCCATACACCAATAGAGGAGGCAAAATCTTGTTTGTTGGCTCCATGTGTGTGGTACACACTGCACACACTATGATATATATGGCATAAAGACTTTCTTCCTTGTTTTTCTCCATTTTTAATGCCCAAATGATTCAATTTCACTTTAGTCCCAAATTTATGCTTGGAATCCCAACCAAAGGCACCCATTAGTTTCCTCTAATCACATACCGCATAAATTTTACTTAATTATCCTTTATTAGGTTGATTACTAGGGTTTATTTTTTTTAGAATATTACAGACGAGTTTTGGCACCATTTAGTAATGGCAGATTTTAGGACAATGTTAGGAGTTACAAAAGAAAAATCAAGCTTGGAGCCATTAGAAAGTCATGGTGTAAAGTTTAAATTTTTACAAGCTTGAACATATACTTGCTTGAAAGTGTGACTTGAGGAGACATACTAAAAATATAAAAAAATGGTGAAATCCAATAAAAATATTTAAAAATTAAATGTGCACTCCATGAATAGTAAATTTTGATAGAATAGATAACATGGTAATGGAATCGATAATCTTAGTAATTGAGGTATTTAAATGATCATTTTTTAACTTTAGGGATGGCCTTGATCCTCTTCATTTAATTAGGGGTATTTTAAACCCTTAACCTTATAAAAAATGGTGGGACCTGTTAAACATATTAAAAAATTCAAATGTCAAGCCCATCAATGGCAAAATTTGATGGAATAAATGGTACGGTGATGAAATTGAAAATTATAGGGATTGAGGGAAATAAATAACCCTTTATTAACTTTATGGATAGCCTTAATCCTTTTTGTTTAGTTGAGAGGTATTTTAAAGCCTTAATCCTAAAATTTATAGGTTATGAGCAAAGTGAGGCTGTGAGCAACCACATGCAAGGCTACAACTAAGCTCATTTAGTTCACATATACAAGCAAACCTATTTTGTCCACAAAAAAAAAAAAGGCAAGACTATTATGGGCTCACTTAGTTAGTTTTTGTTTTTGTTTTTGTTATCCAATGAATTTTCACAGTCGGCAATCATGAGACTAATTCTTAAAGAATTTGAGTATCATTTAAAATGTTCTCTTCTTCCAAACAATACTTTTCTATACACACCTTCAGGATTTATTTTTTTGGCGCAGGCTAGATTTTTAAAAGAAATTTTCCCAGCCTAAGCCCATTCAACTATAACATATATTTTTTGACATAAGGCCCATAAATGGGGCCTTTCAAGAAAATTCTTAAAAAAAAACCAACTGAACGGGCACCTTTCCCTTTCAATCCAGTGACTCATGTTGTTGGGTCAACTAGCTAATCTGCATGATTGGGGGCCTTGTCCAGCCCAATCTTTGTCATATGTTCTGACAATGACTAATGGCATATGAAAACGTTGAAAGCCCATAAATAGCAATTAATTGATGAGCTTTTCCGGGGCAGTAACTGCCAGCAGACAGAAATATTTGTATGTATGATTAAACAAAACCAACGATTAAGGGATTAAAAAATATGTAGAGAGGATTTTCTTGTATACATTACTTAAACACATTAATTTTCCTTAATGAAAATATGTGTGTTTTCCCCAAAATTTAATTGATCTTTGGAAAGAAAATCGACATGTTGTATTTCTGTACTCACAACTAACAATTTACAATTTCTCTCTCTTTTGTTATCAAATTGAAATTAAGTTCTTTCATCTCTCAAAAAAAAAAAAAAAAAAAGTTCTGCCTAGCTAGGATGCTATCATGGCAATTAAGTTCCGACATAAACAAGAATGTGGACGTGGGAACGGAAGAAGCCCCATTGTTTCTTCAATTTTACGTGAGTCTGAATTGCTTGCCCAAAACCCAACTCTTCATAACATAACTAACCATCCCGTCCGTTGGATTGCGTAAAGCTGTAATTCGCTGCTTGAATCCTTCCCAAAAGAACCGGTTTTATTTCTCGCGCGATTCTCCCTGCTCATCAAATAGCACTGCATTTTTCAGCTCCCTGTTCCAGCTCTCTCAATCTAAGCGACGTCGTGCCCTCTCCCCTGCTTCTTCATGGGGGCTCCATTCCTCGATCTCTAAGGAAGCACCCCAAAACCCTTTCAGATCCCAATCGACTTTAATCTCAGATGGCTTCCTGGCTTAAGGCCGCTGAGGTATCCATCGATCTCCCTGCTTCTGTCATCTACATTCCGAATTCTCCCTAATTTGACTGTTTCTATTTGGTTCATATGGACTTTGAGCTTCCAGTGCTATTATTGTGTCACTGGTTCGACTTGCTTGCCTTTTAGCATTCCATAGGTTTCGAGATTGATCTGGTTTCCCTTGCAAATTTTGTGAGTTATGGTGATGTCAGTTTTCGGCTTACTGTCTTTAGATGCTTTGATCCGATGTTAAAAGCATTTAGTCAAGTTCTACCGGATTGTTTTGGATGTTTAATATCGGTTTGAACTATGATCATAAACTTCACATCCCAGCTCCTTGCTGATTTGTGGGTGTTGTTGACTAGATAAAGATGTATGCTTCAGAGGAGAATGCAAAGTATGTTTAATTTTTTGGCAAAGAGCCATAACACTTTGCCCAAACTTATGAATGCTGTTAAGGCTGCCCGACAGAAAAGGAATACCGCTTTCAGATTAACTGCATTGCCAGTAAATCTTCAGCAATTTCGAGTGGAGCACATTTTCACTTTTAAATTCTTTAAGGGGTCACGTATTTTTTAATCACTCAGGAGAAATTGTACTAAGTTTAATTGGTCTCTTGCCTCCTGTATTTTTTCCTTGGAAGAAGCATTGTCATTTGGGGTCATTTACTTTTTGTAGTTTCCCCCCTCCTTTGAGTTGGGTTGTATCATCTGCTACAGCATTAAATAGGAAGTTTCTCTCTTCCGCCCCCTTTTTTGGGTCTGTGTATGCTGCTCATTTAGAAACAAATTCTAACTTATGACATATTCCTTTTCTATCTATTTGAACAGATTTATTTGAAGTTGTAGATCGAAGGGCCAAGCTAGTTGTCAGCGAATATGCAGATGAGCAATCAGATTCTAAGTCTCCAGGTTTAGATTCTAGTTTGTTTGGCTTATGGTTTCTTGTCTATCACAATCAATTCAGGCACTGATGTTTGAATAGTGACTGCTTGACCTGAACTTAATCCTGGGTTAATTGCTATAATTATGTGTCGTTTATTTACTAGAAAGAATATATTTCACGCATCTGATGGTTAACAACGGCAGTTTTGCTGTCATTTTGATTCACCATGATTAAAATTTACTGGATAGATGTTGTGAGAGGCATATTGAAGTATAACTGTTCTCTAAGAGAGAAAATAACAATAAAAAGCTCCCTTTTCCAGAATAATTCCATATTTTACAATTCCAGCTATAAAGTATGCAGTCCAACAAATTTTTCAAGCGCGAGTGCTAATATTTTCTTTAACCTTTCTGACAATTAGCTTCTAGTGGGCAAGGATCTCAAGGCAAGAGGACAAAATCAAAATCTAAGGTATTGCCTCTGAAGTTTATCCTTAAGCAATGTTCTTATAACATGAACCTTGATCACATCTTAAACTATTCTGCAGGCTCAAAAGGGACAAGCTGTTCCATCTCCTGTAATTAGTGACACCACAAAGGAGCAAGGTGGCGTATCAGAAGACTCAGTAGATGTAACTTCTCCAAGTAATAAGTTTGATTCCACAAAGGTTCAAAAGGGACCATCGATCTTGTCTCCTGTTATTAATGATATTACAAAAGAGCAAGTTGGCACACCTGCAGAACCAGTAGATGTTGCTACTGTGAGTGAAAAAGTTGATCTTAATCTTGTAGCTGAGAATGACGGGAGTGCTTCTATGTCTACAAGCCAAGCTAAAAAGGAGCAGCCAGCAACTGACAAAATGCCACCCTTGTCAGGCACTCCATCAACAGAAGTGATAACTAATGATGTGAATAAGCATGAAATGGACAATGTGGAGGTCTTAGTAGATGATAATAATGCTGGACCTTCCACTCTTTCTGAAACTATTTCTACAGACGTCCAGCTTCCCAAAGAGAATGCTTCAGATATCCATGATGGGCATTCCTCTCCATCTAACAAAGGGATTGAAAGCCCCAGTGAAAATCAATCAACTGATACTGGCCTAATTATGGACCCTGGAAATATGGATGCTGATTTAAAAAAGGGTCAAGAGAGATCTGAATCTCTGACCTCTGACACTGCTTCTAATGGTGATGTTCTTTGTAAAGATACTGATTTAATAGTTCAATCTATTGACAATGGAAAGAGCCAAGAGGATCATAAAACTGAAACCGATAACTCAAAGAAAGTACAAGATCAACTTGATGAGGTGTCATATTTATCATAAGAGAGAAGTTTATAATTTGTTTCTTCAAATACTTATCCTCTATTGAATTACTTCTGATTAGTTCTTTTAGCTGGTTCACAGGCTCAAGGACTGCTTAAAACAGCAAAATCTACTGGTCAATCTAAAGAGGCAAGGTTAGCTCGGGTGAGAATGCTGTCAACAAACATTTCTGTCATCCAAGGCCTCCCTAAATGGGAGAGGCCTGATTACAGTGGCATATCCTGCAGATTGGTTCTGGGATCTTAGCAATAATTTCTTCCTAATTGCTGGTTAGACATCTAGTTGATGTTTTCTTGTTGTTGTTCAGGTCTGTGCTGGATTATCATCCCGACTTCAAGAATACAAAGCTGAAAATGCACAGCTGGAGGAACTTCTTAGTGCAGAGGTGAAGCTGCATTACTATTCCATGTTTAAAGGACTAGGTGTTATCATGTTTCTCCAATAGAAAAATAATTAATTGTTGCAATATTAAATTAATGCTAACTTTACAGAGAGAGTTGAGTAAATCTTATGAAGGTCGAATGAAAGAGCTACAGAAAGATTTGTCTGAATGTAAAAGGGAAGTATCCAGAGTAGAGTCAAATATGTCTGATGCCTTGGCGGCAAAGAATGCTGAAATTGATACTCTTGTCAGTTCTATGGATGCTGTTAAAAGACAGGCCGCATTATCCGAGGGAAATCTTGCTTCTCTTCAGGTTCTTCATAGTTGAATTGAATATTTTGCTTGTGTTTTTTTTCCCCTACATCTACTATCTCAACCTGATCTACATGTCCTGCATCGTTTTCTTTAGTCCCTTGCAAAAGTTTTCTCCTTCAATGAACACACTGGGTCGCTCAAGTGTTGGCATATTTGAGTTTGGCTGAGAATGTCACCTAGTTAATGTATTCCTTGAAGTTTAAGTGAGCTTCTTTTTCATTTTATCATTTCTACATACAGGTATAAATATAATTAGCCAACTATCATTTTTCTACATGTAAAAGTAAGAGTTTAGCCATATAATTTCAATTACCTACTGTGTAGTTTTCAAAAGATATAACTTGCTAGAAATGCACAATGAAATATCTGGTTTGCATACAGACGATATTGTCTAATAGACCCTCCCCAAACATGATATGACCTGCTGTATTCATCATATGATAATGACCGAGCTGCATATATGAAATTGCTCTTTCTGTGTCAGTGTAGTCTCTTTTAGAATATATCATTGAGCTGTTATATGCGTGTCTTTTTGTTGTAAACAAAAACCATCAGCTAACTATGGTGACTGAGTAGCTTGTTCACTTGCCTACATTATTTTTTTCTCTATGATTTTGGTCTTCCATTAATTGTGTGCTTAATTACATTTAATCAGGCAAGCATGGAGTCTATGATCAGAAGTCGAGAACTGACAGAGACAAGAATGATGCAAGTAAGTAAAAGATCTGCTGCATTTAAGATTCCCTTGAATATTCTGATATTCATGATTTATAAAATGAACTTTTGCATTATAAAATTTTTATTTTCATAGGCTTTAAGAGAGGAGCTAGCATCTGCTGAACGAAGAGCAGAAGAGGAGCGTGCAGCTCATAATGCTACCAAAATGGTCTATAGCTAGAGTCCTTATTTCTTTTTGTACCTTTTGCCTTGTAGCTTTCTTATTCTGTGATTGGTGAGACAGTCTGCCATGGAGAGAGAAGTGGAATTGGAGCACAGAGCTGTTGAGGCATCTACAGCCCTTGCAAGGATACAGGTAACTTGATCATCTAGTAAAGTAACTGTATTTATCCTTGTGTTACTAATCTGATTATGTTTATTTTTCCCCTGATAAGCTCTAAGAATTGTAGAACCATTTCTGACATCAGAGCATTACATTTGCATCGAGTAGTTAATTGCTTCTCGTTTCAGAGAATAGCAGATGAGAGAACAGCAAAGGCCACAGAACTGGAGCAGAAGGTGGCACTTCTTGAGGTACATAGGGAACATTTAATTAGTGATTTATTTTTTCAAAAAAATAAAGGAAAGGCTAAGTCTGATTGTTAATTCTGAAATAAAGGTCTAGTAAATCATTTTTTGAGCCTTCTGTTACTAGGTTGAGTGTGCATCTTTAAATCAAGAACTGCAAGATATGGAAACACGTGCTCGCCGTGAGCAAAAGAAGTCACCAGAAGAAACAAATCAAGTAATTCAGGTACTACTTACGCATCTCATTATCAATTAATTTCCTTGCTGTAGGTCTCTTTGCACACTATTGTATTTTAATAAACTACTTATTATAATAGAGCTGACACCCTACATGTTTCATGGCCTAAACTTATTCAAACAACATTTAGTATGATGTAATTATGCATCGACTCCATATTAGCAGGTCGTTACATTATTCTTGTGAGAATTTCCAAGCATAAGTTATATTTTCCCAATCAATAAAAACATAAGCAGGTATTTACCTACATTAGTACTAGAATAATTATATTTTGTGACCCTACTTTGACATGCATTCTCAATGAATGTTGTGTATCATGTAGAAGTGCAGACTGGGAGTCTGGTCGTATCAACTACTTGCATCTACCCTGCTGTATATGTTCAAATAAAGTTTCATCTGTTTAGATAATAATGACTTAAGTTTCATACATTCAGATTCAGGCATGGCAAGAAGAAGTGGAGCGTGCACGCCAGGGTCAGAGAGATGCTGAAAACAAGCTTTCTTCTTTGGAGGCAAATAACTTTTAATTGCATTTAATATTTTTATGAGATTATAATTTTCCATCTTTTAGGTTGAAATTTGCTTACTAGCATTCATTATTTCTGAGTTCAGGCTGAGTTGCAAAAAATGAGAGTTGAAATGGCTGCCATGAAGAGGGATGCTGAGCATTACTCTCGTCAGGTATTGCCTCTGATGTGTCTTACTTTATTTACAAGTTAACTCTTCTTGTCAAACATGTGTAAATACACAAAGCAAGGCCGCTGGCTTTTTGAAATTTCATAGTTTCCCACATAAAATTTGTTATTCAATTTATGAGAAAAGTTGTCAAATCGTAAATTGAAAAGCTTAATGTTTGAATTGTGAATCATAAATCTATTGTGTATTCTTATAGCTGTGTATACGCTTAGGCATGTACAATTGTCCCTTGTGGATCTTTCTCAAAGTTAAATTAATGTAATCCTGTCATAGATTATCTATGCTGCATCATATCTTTCTGTGTGTGAACAAATGGCATCAAATGAAGTTGGTTGAGGTTATTTTAAAAAAAACGTTCCTCTTTTAATCTAAGTAGTTGCATCTCCTATAATGTTAGTGCTAATTCAATTTTTTGAATGTTTTCCATTAAAATTTTTCCGTACCAGTAAAGACAAGAAAATTTAATATAATGACTTTATGAAATAAACTGTGACCTTGTATCTTCAAAAATAGCCTTGTTCATATGTGGACGCTGGAATTATCCATGATGTCTATTTTCTTAGATTGCATGGAGACACAAAACCATGTTTCTAAAATTAGCGGGACTCAGACTTGATTACACAGCTGCATTGCTGGTGGACTCAAATGTCAAAGAACTTCGCTGTTTTCTGCTGATTTCATCAATTAAAAGCTATTGTTAATTTTTTTATATTACATAAAAAGGTACTTTCGACATTATTTCTTGACAAGGTGTTATACTACGTTAATTTTGCTTGAAGTCTGCTAGTGATTTCAAATGGTTTTAACTTGAAGATACAATGGACTTGGCATTTGTTTTGATGGTTGAAAATTAGGTGGTCAGGATTAATTTAACCTAGCAGACATAACACACCTTCCCTTGTGAAAGGGGTCCTTTGAGTTTTCTGTAAATAGGCAATCATATGCATCCAGGTATTTTCATTATAATATGCTAACTATGTTATATCAATCGGATGTTACCATTGTTTAAAATTTCTGTAAGACTGTAAGTCTCTAACCACCATTGGAGGAGTAGTGCTTCATAATTTTACTTAAAATGCAATCTTGCTTTTCTTTTGTGGTTTTGGATGTCCGTTAAAACTGGACCTACATATGCCTTTCTAAGATGTTATGATGTCATGGTAAGGTTGGAAGGCTGCTTGTACTAATTATAGTTATATTACACTCTCAGGAGCATATGGAACTTGAGAAACGCTATCGTGAGCTAACTGATCTTTTGGTAATTCATTGTTAAATTTCATTTATTACCCGTGATGTTTGATTATGTTATCTGTTACAAATATGCGTTCCTGTTTTCATTTCCAGTACTATAAGCAAACACAGTTAGAAACCATGGCCAGTGAAAAAGCTGCCACAGAGTTTCAATTAGAGAAGGAAATAAAGAGGATTCAAGAAGCACAGGTATGTGTTTAGGCTATCTTGGCTGCTTAATTGATAGTTTGCTCCACACAAGTTGAAATTAGTGTCATTCGAACAGGTAGAGGCTGAAAGAAG